GCTGGGGGGGGGGCAAGGCTCTATAACGGGGGGCAGTTGCCCCCCTTGCCCCCTTGTAGATCTGCCCCTGATTACAATACATTCAATTAGGTCATTTTAATAATGAGGAAAGTTTTAGTAATGGAATTAAATTTGGTAGCAGGTTATGAATGCACAGCATTATGAAAGATAGCAAACAGATAAACCTTAAACAGTAATATGAACATTTAGTCATTTTCCATTAATATTTTGCTTAGAAAGTTTTTTGTTTCATGTAATTTCTTGAATTACTGTTGGTCAGTATTATTTTCAAACACTTTTCTGACCTTTAGGCTGCTTTTTTGTTTTTATTGATGTTCAAAACAAAAAAGCTCAGTATCTGACCAAATAGAAAACAAATGTTTTAATGTTTAATTTTTGTTTTCAAAATCCCTTAAGTCTAATCTAAAAATCATTTGGTCATTAAATGGTTCCTTTATCTCAACATATGATGTTCAGTATGCTGTCACATAAGACAGGTTACAGAGAACCAATTCTAAATGTGATCTTGTGTCTTTTTGTACAAGCAAAATATTACAAATACAGAATTTCTTTCTTTTTATTAAGCTGAGCCCATAAAAAACAACAAATATAGCAAAGTTTGATAAATAAATTCATGTCTTAGCACCAATGTGCTTTTCAATGAGTTATTAGCTGAAAATGAATGAACTGGTGGACGGTGCATCTCTCAGGTGTTTGTTTTCTTCTTGTCTATTTTTTTTATCTTTTTATTTATTTACATCTACACACTAAAATACATTTTTTTCATGCTTTGGTACAAAGACTATACATAAAATTAAATTAAAAGCAGTCAAATTTCAAAGAGAAAGATGTTCAGAAAGCTTAAGCCTTATATGAAATTCTATCATAAAATCAGAGATGGTTTAACATTTTTGCACAAAAACATTTGTACCACTGAAAGAGTGACAGAAAATAAGTAAAAAAAGACAGAATCAACTGTGAGGACAAAAAAGGCAATGAATTGGAGAATTAATACCTATTGTGAGTTATTCCCAAATGCTCATTTTAAGTCCTTCCATCTAAATTGTCTCTTGACATTCATTAAACCACACAACAAGACAGCAAACAGGGGACAGCATGGTAACATGAGAATATGGACTAATACACAGTCATCTGGCTGCCAGCCACCGCTCAACAAAAAGAGAAAAATAGGCTACAGAAAACCTTGCTTATTAAAAAACAATTTCATGCCAGGAAAATAGAGGAAACTTAATGCATAGTTCTGTCTGCAGTGCTTTTTAAACTTTCAGACAGACCAAGCTTACAAATGAAAATTTGCTCTTATATCAATGATATATACAGCGGGTAAAATAAATATTGAACACGTCACCATTTTGCTCTGTAAATATATTACTAGAGGTGCTAATGACATGAAATTTTCACCAGATGTTGGTAACAACTCAAGTGATCCATACATACAAAGAAATCAAACCATAAATGTCCAGAAATGAAGTTATTTGTAATAATGTGGAATGGCACAGGGGAAAAGTATTGAACACACTTACTGAAATTTATCTAATACTTTGTACAAAAGCCTTTGTTGTCAATGACAGCTTCAAGACGCTTCCTGTATGGATAAACCAGTCGCATGCATTGCTCAGGTGTGATTTTGGCCCATTCTTCCACACAAACAGTCTTCAAATCTTTAAGCTTTCGTGGACCTTTTCTATGAACTCTGATCTTTAGTTCTTTCCATAGATTTTCTGTTGGATTCAGGTCAGG